TGGCCCCTGCCCCTGCCCCTTCTTGGGGTCCTCAGGCTTCCAGACCAAGCACCTCCCTGTCCCTCCAGGAGGCTCAGAGCGGCCCCACAGCTGGGCCTGGGTCTGGGCACAGCTTAGGTGCCCATTTCTGCACCAGGAGGTGTCTTTCCAAAGCAGGCCCTGTGAGCTGGGACTCCCTGTGGGGCCTGCTCACCACACCCCGACTGCAGTCTGTCCCTGCAGACACCCAGGCAGTCCCTCTGTGGGGACAGCACAGCACTATTGTGCTGGTGGCCGGAGAGTCAGTCTCGCCATCGTGTTAATTCCAACACAGTCACAGGAAGCAGGGATACAGGCTGCTCTTCCCACTCACAGCTGCTGCCTCCTTGGCCCGCCCTGTCCCGAAGGGCCTGGGCCGGCTGCAAACAGCAGGCAGCAGCCACTGCCCGGCTAGGAACTGACAGGAGAGTCTGTGAGCCTGGAGATGGGGGAGGCCCACGCCACCTTCCTGTTTGAGAGAGAGCACTTTTCACTTTAAAATGGGACACAGCCTCATTGGGAAGCTGCTGATGACTTGCAGACCACATTCCCCGCAGCCTCGTTACCCAGAACAGCCGGCCCCGTGCCTGGGGAGACAGACAGGCCGGCGGGAGACCGGGTGGCCCTGCCTTGCAGGAGCCGTGTGCCCACGGTCACTGCCATGCGGGGGGGGGGGGGGGGTGCTAGCCAGTGTGAGGATGGACGGGGTGGGGGTGTCCACTGTGTGGGCAGCCAGCCCACAGGCCTTAGTGTGAAAGGCTTTTAAAGCTGAGAGAAAAGCAGTCGTCTCACAGCGAGGAAGCCGGCAGGGAACACTGCCCTGTGGTGTCAGGCAGAGTCACCATGGGGAGTCGGGCACTGCTGTCAGGGCCCCCCGGGGCTGCCTGCCTGTCCTCCGCAGGACAGGCGGAGGGGCTGCCTCTGCTCCGAGGGCGGGAGGAATCAGAATGAAATTTCTGTAACATGTTCACCTTGGGGGGTTGATAGTGAGGCAGCGTGGAGGTCTCGTGGCTGTGGAAAGATCTAGAACACAGTGCCAGGGAGCACAGAAGGCAGGAGTGCGGGCGCCGTGGCCAGGGCACCTAGATGCCGCGTGCTGGATGAGGGGCTGGCATGTCAGAAACTTAGGTTTTCGGAGTGGTGAGACGCCTCACAGGGGTTTCCCACTTCTTTCCAGTCCCCTGGATCAGCATCCTTGTGCCCCACAGATTGCTCGTGGAAAAATGATAAGGGGGCTTCTAAACCACAGAACCACCATCATTCAGAACTGCCTGAAATCTGGCTGAATGGAATTCCTACAACTAGGGATTTAAAGGAGCAGCCACATCAAGACTAATAGGAGAGGCAGAGTCACTGCAGAATGAGCTGGTCCCACACCCATGTGTGGCCGATAAAACTGGGAGGGATATCTTGGCTGCGGAGGTCCCCCTGAGGAACAAGGTGTCCCAGCCCCATACCAGACCCCTCAGCCCAGGGTTCCAGTGCTGGGAAGATTAATCCCTGTAACTCTGGGCTGTAAAAACCAGTGGGGTTTATGGCTGAGTCACATGAAAGCTGCTGGAGACCCAGGCAGCTCCTCTTAAAGGGCTAGCACACAGACTTACTCAGACTCATTCCTTCTGAGCTCTAGCACTGGGGCAGCAGCTTGAACGGCCGCAGGGCCATACAGGAGCAACTACATTGTCTGGCATCAGGGAAGGAACTGGGGGGAGGGCAGTTTTCTCCCAGATAAAAGTGCTGGCAGAGGTCACTGTTCCTTTTCTGAGCCCTCACCCCACAGAGCCAGCAGATGGGTGCCATATCTTAGATTCCATCAATTCCATCAGCCTGGCTCACACTGTTCGCCTCACCATGGAGAATTCCCTGAGGCCCACACAAGCTGTTTGCAGTGGCTCTTCCATACCAATGAACTCTGTCCTGGCTCAGGCTTCAGACTCAACTAAAATCCTTCAAACAAGCAGCATTTGGTCTCAGCATGCTATGGACTTCTTGCTAAGTGGCCACAGGCCTGGTAGTAGCAGCAGCCAGCCTTGGTTCATAGCTTGGCTTCTCCTGGGCACATCCAAGCCCAGCACAAGGAGCAGCCATCTGCAGATCGCTTTGTAGCTCATGCCAAATGGCCCCAGACAGAACACAGATGGTGTTGATCTTGGCCTGGATGCCCTAGGAGGCCCCAGAGTCAGCGCACTCAGTGGACAGCTTCAGACCACATTGAAGCACCGCTCAACCACCTCCACAAGCAACACACTCAAGAGGCAAACTCAGTGAGCACCAGAGCCCTGCTGAAGTAAGTCCTGCTCTGTGGGGTGGGCCCCTGGACAGCTGATCCTGTGGTCTGTGGTCACTGATAGCAGCCATCGGCCTGAAGGTAAATCCCTGCCATTAATGTGCCAACAGCAATCCAGGTTCGACTACAATAGGAGGGTGTACACAGCCCAATGGGTTGGAGGGGAGGCTGTGCCGCTGGACCCTACATTAGGTCACTCTACCAAGCATGGGAGATGTAGCAGCTCTACCTAATACATAGAAACAAACACAGGGAGGCTGCCAAAATGAGGACCCAAAGAAACATATCCCAAATAAAACAACAAACTCCAGGAAAAAAACTAGACAAAATCGAGACAAGTAATCTACTAGATGCAGAGTTCAACACACTGGTTACAAGGATGCTCAATGAAGTTACAAGTTTAACAGTATTAAAAAGAAGACATGGAAACCATAAAAAAAACAACAACCAGAAATGAAGGAGGTACTAACTGAAATGAATAACTTACAGGGAGTCAACTGTAAAGCAGATAAAGCAGAGAATCAAATCAGCAATTTGGAATATCAGAAAGCAAAAAACTCCCAATCAGAAGAGCAAAAAGAAAAAGAAAAAGAAATCCAAAAACATGAAGATAGTGTAAGAAGACTCTGGGACAACTTCAAGCGTACCAACATTCACATTACAGTGGTGCTGGAAGGAGAGGAGAGGGAGCAAGAAATTGAAAACCTATCTGAAGAAATAATGACAGAAAACTTCCCTAACCTGGTGAAGGAAATAGACTTACAAGTCCAGGAAGCGGAGTCCCAAACAAGATGAACCCAAAGAGACCCACACCAAGACACATCATAATTTAAAGGCCAAGGGTTAAAAAGAGAGAATCTTAAAAGCACCAAGAGAAAAGCAGTTAGTTACCTACAAGGGAGCTCCCGTACGAATATCAGCTGATTTCTCAACAGAAACTTTGTGGTCAGGACGGAGTGGCAGGAAATATTAAAAGTGATGAAAAGCAAGAACCTACAATCAAGATTACTCTACCCAACAAAGCTATCATTTGGAATCAAAGGACAGATAAAGAGCTTCACAGACAAGAAAAAGCTAAAGGAGTTCATCACCACCAAACCAGTATAATGTGAAATGTTAAAGGGTCTTGAAGAAGAAAAGAAGATTTAAAAAATATGAACAATAAAATGGCAATAAATACGTATCTATCAACAATTGAATCTAAAAAAACACACAACAAAATAAATGAACAAGCAGAACAGAAACACAATGATAGATACAGAGAACAGTTTGTTGCGACGGGCTGGGGGCCCGGTGAAAAAGGTGAAAGGATTAAGATGTACAAATTGGCTGTTACAGAATAGTCCCTGGAATGTAACGTTCACATAGTCAATAATATTGTAATAACTGTGTCAAATGGGTATGTGATTTATTGGGATGATCACTTAGGTATGTGATGTCTAATCACTGGGTGTACACCGGAAACTAATATAATATTGTCAACTGTAATTGAAAAATAAAAAATGATTTAAAAATAGTTAATTTTTCTTCTCCCCCAGGAGAAGTACCCCGCGGCTGTGCAGCTCCCCGAGGGGGCCTCCTCCAGCTGCATGAGCATCCGGAGCGCCAGCCAGCCAGGGTGAGTGCACAGCCCGTGGGCTCGGGCTTCCTTGCTCGCCAAGTCCCTTCCCTGCAACCAGATGGTATTTCCTGGTGAAAACGAGGATTACAAATGTAGAGGGCAAATGCGAGCTGCCGACACCTTGAGAAACGTCTGTGGCGCCCTAACAGGTGCACACCCACCGACGGCGGCAGAAGAGGAGGGGCACGTGGGTGAAGAGGGATCGGGGACAGGGGTCAGCAAGCTCTGAGGGAGGGAGGACCACCTGGCCTTCACTCTGCTGGGCGCCTGGGGGCGCGGATCTGCCGGGGTGGGAGGGCCTGGTGACTGGCATGAGTGCCTGCCGAGGTTTGGGTTTGTTTTCAAGCCTCACAATTATGCAGGCTGCTGGGACTCACCCTGTAGTAAGGGAACGTGTCCATCCCTCACAGCTGGAGCCTGTGGCTGGAGGCCATGTCAGCTTGCACTCTGCTGGGCGAATGTGTGCATGCCCGTGTCCCTTAGAGCATCTGGGTTATTCACTGCTTCCCACCATGTCTAACCTGTCCATGTCCCAGGCCCATGCGAACACAGCTTCTCTGGGCATATGCCTAGACATGCAACCCTTGGGCCATAGCGTAGACTCAGCTTTCTGTTACCACCAGATTCTTTTAGAAGTAGTTTACCAACTTATTTCCCACAGGAAAGTGTAAGTTCCTGTTGTTCCATGTCCTGTACTTCACTTGTACTGTCATCCTAGTATTAGTGGGTACAACAGCACCTCCCTGAGGCCTTCCTGGCCACGGCCCTGTGTGTCCAGGACTGACCCTGTGGGTGGGTGAGTGTCTAAGAGGGGGCCAGCTCACAGTCACGCTTCAAGGCACCTGGGGGCGGCTCTGACCTCTTTCAGGTTTGAGCTGGTCATCGTCTGGAGGATGCACATAGATGAAGAAGGGAAGGTTTTGCCGAAGCTGGATCTTCTCACCCAAGTGCCACAGCGAGGTAGGCAGGCCAGCGGGCTCTGCAGTCTTAGTGCCCAGCAGGGACACCCACTGATTTCACCTGGTTCACATGGCAACAATCAAAGGCTGAAAATCTCAGTGTACTTTTTATGTCATTTTAAAAAATATTCTGATCAATAATCACTCCAAAAGCACCTGTGGAGGCACTGCGCCCCAGGCCTCCTGGGCTGCTGCACAGTGTGGGGAGGGGGTTGTGCCTGCGGGTTGGGCTGCGCTGACGGCTGACACAGCAGCAACAGGGGAGGTGGGCAGGGTCTCGGCCGGTGTGTTTCTGACCCAGTGTGTTCTCCTTACAGCCCTGGAGCTGGACCGGAAGGGAGCAGTCGCAGCTGCTCCTCTCCACTTCCGGGCCCTGCTGGGCCTGCTGGGCATCGAAGCGGCTCTGGAGAGCCTGCTGAGGCTGCTCTGCGCGGAGGGAAGCCCCGGTGCCCACCCAGCACCGCCAGGGGCCTGGGATGTTACTGAATAGAAACATTGGCTGCTGCCGACTTAGAAACCACACCCTCAGCACATGTCTGTGCATTGGTGACACATGATCTATCAACTGTCAGGTCATAAAAAACACAGACAGCTGTTTAAACACAAAATGAAAAGCCTGACACACGAGGAGCAGCTGTGCCCCCTCCACCCCCGGGAGGCTCTCCCCTCCCCTTGGCCTCCTGAGCTGGAAAGCCGCTCCCCTCAGCCAGTCCTGACACGCACTCGTCTTGACCCAAAACAGCAAGTCTGCACTTGAACCTGCAGTGGGACAGCGAGACCCACTGTCCCCCACAGGCCTGGGCCGTCCCCCCCGCCCCCCTCTGTCCCACCCGTGAGCCCCAGCTCCCCGCGTGTCCAGCAGGTGGAGTCTAACGCCTCCTGCCCCCACACTAACAGGAGAAGATGGGCAGCACTTGAGTATCTTTCCGACCCTCTGAGTACAGAAGTAAATGTTATGACAGAATTAAAGAATAAATTCTAGAAAAACTGGTGTAATTCAAACAAGTGTAATTCTCAAATTATCACAAAATTTCCCCACAAAAATTTACAATCAGCAAAATATTCTCCTTATATTTCATGTAGCATTTTCATATAATTCCACGGTTTCACTAACATTATAATATATTACAATGAGCCTTCATTAATCCCTCAAAACGATGCTATAAATAATCAGCCTGTACAACCGACCATGGAGTGAACCTGCCACCAGGACTCGCGTGTTCACAGCAGCCTGGCGCCTGGGGAGCCCCACCAAGAGCCCGGGGTGCCAGCAGGGCCACTCCTCTTGCACCAGCGGGCGGCAGCCCTGCAGAGGCGGCCCAGCACCCGAGGGAGGCCCAGGGCAGAGGCACAGGGCTGGCGCCTCCCCACAGTTCAGAGCGGCGTCACTCAGGAAAGGAAAGGAAAGGAGTTGGTGCTCACGTGATGGTGTTTGCCCAACCTGAGTCCCGTGGCCCCTGCTGATCCCACGCAGAATGGTGGCCGTCTGCACTGTGCCCTCACCTGCAGGAGCCACAGGCCTGTGCTGATTGGCGTGTGGCTGGCCACTCAGCTGAGGAAGTTCCAGTAGGATCCCTGTTTTCTTAAAAGGCCAAATTGTAAGATCTACATGACAGTCCGTGTCCCGTGTGCTAAGAGCCTGGTGGTAGGAGATCCAAACGTTGGGTCTTACAATCAGGCGTTTGCATTAGAGGTTAGACATGAGCCTTGGGTAGGAGGGCAGCTGCCCGAGGCGCCAGGACATAATGCACAGCCCCCCTGGCCCGCCTGCCCTGGGAGGGGCCTCCATCCTGCATCCCAGCAGCAGCCCCCGAACAGTGGTTAGAAAGCAACAACATTCACAGCCAGTCACCCACCACAAAGCGCTATCGTTCAGCCTTCACATCCCATGTTCAAGTTTCAAGACACCACAGGAGAAAAGCTAGACCTTATGGAGAACTAAGGTGCAGTCTTCGCTCTCCTTGAACCTGGCTGACACCGCGGCGGCGTCTTTGGCGCGCACAGCCTTCGAGTAGTAGTTGACGATCTTGCCATCCAGTCTGTACTGATGCGGGATGCTCTCGTAGGGCTTGAGGTCAAGGTCCAGCACAGACACGGAGAAGGCAAACCTGGACCGTGATGCAGGGACCACAGGCCTCTGATCAGAGCTGAAAATACAAAACAATGTCAGTGCTCCCAACCCTCTCCTTGCTCACAAAGAGCACCCATTCTTGCGCCTACATGCATCCCGTCTGTCCGTGGTGTGCACAGCGCTCGAAGCTTCTGCTGTGAGACCCGCTAGTGCCCAGGTAAGAAAGGGTTAATGTGCAGAAAGATGGAAAACAAATTACTAGGATATTTGTGACATTCCCCCTATCCCAGAGGTAGAAGCGAATGCTGGGCCAACTATTACGAAACCTAAGAAAGAGCAGGAAGATCTGGCCACTCAACAGCCAAGTGGATGATAACGTGCTGGGAGCAGACTCCCCGCTCCTTTCTGCTTGCTCAGTCTGCAGTGTTTTGTGTTCTGTCTCTTAGTGCTTAGGTTTTCTAAATATCAGAAGTCACAGGCTGAACGCTCTGTGGACAATGACTTGTACTTGAAGACCCGAGACTGAGTCTGAACTTTGTGCTCAGGCTGCTGTGGAGCACGCTCAGGGCACAGTCGGCAGCAAGGTGACTGGCACGGGCGTGAGACGAGTTCATGCGGCTGCAGGGAGTCGGTCAGGAGCCGCGCTCTCCCCAGGCTGAACTACTAGCTAGAAATCATCAAAAAACAAGTCAACCTATGAACCAGGAGGTCCTGGGCTGCGGGCTCGATCCCCAGTAGGGGGCGTGCAGGAGGCAGCCAATCAATGATTCTTTCTCATCACTGATGTTGCAATCTCTCCCTCTCTGAAATCAATAAATAGATATTTTAAATATATATATATTAAAAAATGATAGAAGTAGCACCTTAAAAAAACAATTCAAACAAACAAAACACCCATTTCGAAAGTTCTGCCTGAGCAGGAAGCAGCGAGCAGGCTCCTGTGCAGACAATGCTGATCGGCCTGAACTCTGACTCATTCCTACTCGAGACCCAGCTGACAGGACAGCGACCTGGGCTCCTTCGGGTTCTTAGCAAAACCTCCCCACCCCCCGCCTCCCCCGCACAGCAGGAAACACGTCTGCACGTCAAGGGCTTGCTTCCATCTCCTCCCAGGGTCTCAATCCCGAGCTCAGAGCAGCTGGGCCTGGACAGAACTACACAGTTTCAAGGACACTCCATCTCTCCCTTCAGAACCAGCACCAAGATGAGGTGAGCCCATCACCAGCTGCTGGGAGCATGGGAGCAGGGCTGCCTCATGAAAACTCAGACCCTTTGTCTGCCAGAAGGTCCCCAGGAGTCCAGGGCATGGCTCCTGACACCTAACCCTGCCCACCCTGGGCTGAGACTGGTGCCCACGTTTCAGAACTTTCTGGACATGTGACCTGGCTCCTGTCCGTGCGTTTTTATGAGGGTAATTTCTGTTCCCCGACTGTACCCTTGCGTCAGGCGGGTGGGAGAACGTAGCATCTCTGTGGTTTCCTCTCATGCAGCACCAGCTAATCCAGCCAATGGAGTCCTCATAGCTAAGCACTGTGGCCTCTTCTTTGGGGATAATGGTGTTTTCAACCAAACAGAACCATCTTTTTCTGTATTTCAGTTTTACCCTATAAATGTCCCTCCATGTTTCCTGACCAGGAAACGGACAGCTCAGTGCCTGTCCGGCAGCGGGCCTCCTTAGGTCAAAAGCAGAAAACCTGGCGGCAGCCAGTGCCAGGCGCCCCGGCCAGAACGAGGATGTTCCGCAGACACTGGGGGCTGGCGCCCCGAGAGCAATGCCGACGACACCATCTGTGACTAAGAAGGTTCGCAGGTTGATCCTGAATTCCTAAAAGAGGCCGGGAGGAGGCAGGGTGACGATGGGGTCTCGGGACGATGCTACAGATGGAAGTAGACTGCGCCCAGCTTGCAGGCGTCACCTGACCGGGGCCAGACTACACCAGGGCAACAGCTCCTCAGGCCCCTGGCCGTGGCAGCAGCGGGCTTCTTTGAGAGAAAGGAATTTGCACACAGTATCCAAACTGCTTCTAAGTCCTTAGAGTATTTTCTTAGAAAATGGTATAATAACCTTCAGTTTAATAGAACAATCTTTTAAAATTATTCTCCATGCCTTTTTATAGCGAATTACAACCTTCTGTGATCTCTAAATGTGGGAAAACCCTCTTCTCAATCCACAAAATCCCGTCCGGCCAGAGCGTCAGGCCCGGGCCCTCACCTGGCGTCCTGCAGGCAGGGGGAGAGCGCGATCATGATGGAGCAGTCCTTCGCCGTCATGGCCACCCGGTACTGCTGCACCTGCGGGCAAGGAGAGGTCAGCTGGCACCTCCTCTGGGAGTCTGGGAACCAGCCCCGGAGCTTGGGGGGAGCAAGCTGCAGGGGTGACTGGAGGAGTGGCAGCGTGAGGGTGCACCTTGTTCTCCCCCTGAAATTTCAACAAGTTACCCAACTGTAAGTCAACCGAGAAACCCTGCTCAACACAGACACACGCCTGAGACCCGCCACCGAAACAGCTTCAGGTGTGCAGCCGGGAGGCACGGGGAGGCCAGAGGGGAGGAAAGCCCAGGTGGCCCGGCTGGGAGAGGGAGGAACAGAGAGCTGCTGGGGGTGGGGAAGGGCAGCCCAGCAGGGCGAGTGGCGAGGAAACAAACAGGGACGGAGCCAGCAGACGCCTGGCAGAGCAAGGCTTCTGCCCTGCGGCTTCCCACGGTCAGGCCAGCAGTGGGGTTTCAGACAAAGAAACAGAACCAGAGCCCTGCCGCCGCTTGGACTCCACAAACTCGCCTCCCGTGGCCCTTGGCGCCGGGTCCAGGAGCATATGATCTGGAAGCCAAGAGCTACTGAAGTAGAACTGGTTTCCATCTGTGACTGCTTCCCAAGAGGGGTACTTGGCGGGGACCCCACGGAGGTCAGGGGTGGCCATTACAGTGAGGGCAAAACAAACCCTACCCCCAAGCAGCAGAGCTGTACCATCTTAGGGAAGCCTCGGAGGCTCACCTCCGGGAGACCACAGAGGTAAAAAACCTTGCAATCAAAAAAAAAGAAAAAAGCCCTAGCATCGGCCTGTGGACCGAAGGGTCCCGGGTTCGATTGATGCAGCGCCATCTACTGGAAAAGAGTAGCAAGACCTCCGCAAACACCAGGGAGAACCACAGCAAGAGAGACCAGGAAGGAAGGAAGCGGCGGGCCAAGCCTGCCCTCGCCCCTCCAGCGGGGTTTGGACCCTGATTCCGAACCCGGGATTCGTATTCAGTGAGGCAGCCACAGGCCTTAGAAGAAAGAGCGGCAGGTGGCCTCAGCGCCTGCTGTGCCGGCCACTGACATCCCTCCAACCTCAGGAGGGAGTGCAGTGTCCCCCACGGGCAGCCTGTCAGCAGGACACGCCTCGGGCCCTCTCACCCCGCAGGCTGTGCAGACCCCTGGCAGGATGCTGCAGACAGGGTCTCCAAGCTGCGTTCCGTCACGCCAGCCCCACGGGAGGCAGGCTCGGGTCTTGGATGGATGCAGACACAAAGCCCGGCTGGGCGATGACAGGGCCCTACGACACCAGCCTCGGCTCTGCAGCTTAAGCTCAACACCGGCTGCAGCACACGTGGATGTGTGCGCACCGGCCGGGAACGCACCTGCAGGGCTGCCACGCAGACCACACGCACGAGGTGTGCAGGGTCTGACTTGTAAAGCCGCGTGTGCTCGCATGTGTTAAAGACACAGAGAGATCCCCAGAGAGGGCTGCCTCCAGGTGGACTTTGGGACATTCTGTCCCTTTTGAACTTTCCTATATCATTTGAATGTTTAGTTTGAATAGCTCTCACTTTTACAAAAATGAACTAGTTACAAAACATGAAGTGGGCCTTCCATGTTCTCACAGGCTGGTTTGTGGTGACAGACCTGTCCCGTTAGCCACTCCCCTGTCACTCGCCCAGAGGACCCA